TATATTATATTATGTTATATTATATTATATTATATTATATTATATTATATTATATTATATTATATGTAGGAAAATATTCATCATAACAATTTTGCATATGTTAGATTGTAAAAATAAGTTAGATTGTGAACGCATGTTTACTTTTGTACAATAAACAGTTATGTACTGTGTTTGCTCACCACCTGATGTCTGGTAAAATCTGAGTCAGCGTCCTTCACAAATTCACATCAGAACAGATTCTGTGTTGGAAATGTGCAGAGTGCTCAGTGATGTCTGTCAGATATTAAAGGAACACTCCACTATATTTGAAAATAGGCTCATTTTCCAACTCCCCTAGAGTTAAACAGTTGAGTTTTACCGTTTTCGACTCTCATTCCGGCGTCGGCGTACCATGGGTGCAGCAGGCACAATGATATTACGCAGAGCTGCAAAGTTGCTTGATTATTACGCTGGAATGAGAGTACAGTTCCTATCTATATTGGCCTAGAAAATCACAACTTTTAATTTTCCGTTCGTCTTAGTACACGATGTAACTACAGAAGAGTCAAGTTTTAAATAGGAAAAATATAGAAGAAAACGGTAAAACTCAACTGTTTAACTCTAGGGGAGTTGGAAAATGAGCCTATTTTCAAATATAGTGGAGTGTTACTTTAAAGAGAGCATCTGTGCTCTGAGGTTTAGGCTTGGTAACATTCAGCCCCAACAATGATATGATGTTGCAAATGAGAATAACCTTAAAGGGATAGTTGCACCCAAAAAATAAAAGAAAATTCTTTTGTCATTTACTCACCTTTATGTCGTTCCAAACCTGTAGGACTTTATTTCTTCTGTGAAACACAGTAGAAGATATTTTGAAGAGCACACTTAAAAATAAAGGTTCTTTATTGGCATCTATGTTTCCACGAAGAACCTTTAACATCCCTGAAACTTTTCCATTGCACAAAATGTTCTTTAGATTATTAAAATGTTCTTTTAGGAACTGTTCACCAAAAATGGTTCTTCTATGGCATTTGTTGGTAACCAAACCATTTCGGGTTCCATTGGATCCATAGTACTGAAATACTATGGAAGTCTATAGGACCCAAAACTGCTGAAAGGTGAAAGCAGACCTCACCTTTAACCCTGGTAAATCACAGTACATTTTTACACTCACAAGCACTTTATGCCAAATTTCGAGGTTAAATGAAAAAGAAAAGGCATTAAATCTATTGTACACCCAACATTTGTTTAAATTGCTCTTTGTTTTGTGTAACCGTGACGGCTTTTACTGCACCAAATTTAAGGTGAGCAGCAGAGGGCCGGTGAAAGCGACGAGCATGTCGTGGTTTAGCTGGAACGAGCCGTACTATCGGAGCCCACGACGTGAGCCAACTGAAGTGGTTACGGACACACTGATGCTGGAGCTGAGCTGGCAGATGAAGGAGGCCGAGAGGCTGCAGCGGGAGCGAGACAATGAATATCGGCGGCTGAAGAGCGGCGTGGACTACAGCTGGCTCGTGAGCACCCCACGCAGCTCATTTGACATCAGTCAAGGAGAGAGACTCGGCCTTGAGGACCTGTGTAGCAAAGTACCAGCATCATACTGCGGATCGGTAATACAAAGGTAAGACAAGGTAATAAAAGGTTAAAGGAGTGCGTTGGATGCTGCACACGGCACGTTTTGTTTTCGACATGAGGATGTTCGTTATCACGGGTTCAAGGGAGGGCGATCTGGGTAATTAGTTTACTAAGCTGTCTTTGTGATGTCTGTACTAGGAAACGCACAAAGACAGCCATGTTTTTTTCTCTAGGTGAACTAAGCAGCTCTAACCTGCTGAAGTGATAATTGTAAGCCTCACGGGATGCGCACCTGACAGATTCAGATGAGCCCCAACTGATGCTGTTAATTTTTGATCAGGTTGCAACTGCATAGCAACTTTTTTTGTTCAGCCCCACTCATTATAACCATGACTTAATGGGATAGTTGACCCAAAAATTACATTTCTGTCATCATATACTTACCCTCATGTTGCAAATCTGCATGATTTTCTTTCTTCTGTAAAAGAAGATAATTTGAGAAATGTCTCAGAGATTTTTATTTTTATTTTTTTATTTTTTTTACGATACAATGGCATTCAGTGGTAATGGTTTGGTAACCAATACCCTTTAAAATATATTTGTTTTCTTCAAAAGACAGAAAGTCATACATGTTTGTAATGACACGAGAGTGAGTAAATGATTACATACTTTTCATTTTTGGGTGAACTTTCATTACTTACTCATTATTTACTTATATTCATGTCATTATAAACTATATGCTGTTATTTTTTATCCTGTGGACCACAAACAAAAAAGTTTAAAAATTCACCCAGATTTTTGCCCATTAAATAACAATTCAAAGCAATCGTGGGCTGTCAAGCATTTAAAAACAAAAGTATTATGAAAGCTGCATATCTTGTGTGCTATATTCCAAGTCTTCCAATCAAATACAGTGTGTTTGCACGAGGAACAGTTCAAAATATAAGTCATTTCTGTCTGTTTTTCACAGGATTAATTTAGTTAACTAAAACTAAAACTAAAACTAAAACCAGACCCTAAAACCAGATGGATGGATGGATATATATATACAGTGGGTACGGAAAGTATTCAGACCCCCTTCAATTTTTCACTCTTTGTTATATTGCAGCCGAATTTTCAAGTGAAATTCGTACACCCTTGTCAGAGAGAATCTTTTTTTGAAAGAAGAGAAGTAGCATGATCTAGTCATTCCCATGAGTACTAGGTGAAAAAGTGAGAGTTTTGAGAGGATTGTATTGATTAAACAAAGAAGGAGAAGGAAGATTAAGAAAACACTAATTCGTTGATTTAACTGGAAATATAAGAACCTAGTTTGGAAACCTATTTTAAGACTTCCTAAGAACATCTTAGTCTGTGGAGCAAGAGCGCATAGGTCCTGAGAGGTTGCTTTTACTCTGATGAGTCAAGTGCTTATGTTCTGCTCTCATAGGGACCACAGGCCACAGTTCACCTGGGAAAGAGAGGCGGATGTTTTTGTGTTGTGTAAAATCTTTTTAAATGGGTGATTAAAACAGACACACAACCAAAAAAGCTGTCTGAAAATGACTGTTGAATGCTGGTGTTATTAGTAATCATTAATTTTTCCTTGAGGTCCACTTAGCCTACACATGACAATTTTCCACTTTTTAAAGGGTTAGTTCACCCAAAAATGAAAATTAGCCCATAAATTACTCACCCTCAAGTCATCCTAGGCCGGGTGTGTGTGCATGGTGTGTGTTCACTGCTGTGTGTGTGCACTTTGGATGGGATAAATGCAGAGCACTAATTCCGAGTATGGGTCACCATACTTGGCCACATGTCACTTCACTTCACTCACAACCCAGGCAAGCTAGATAATTCTGCACACAGCTGAAATTCCAGGTTTTCAAACAGAGATGGCGACAAAGAGGCGGACTGCAGCTTTAAATCTCACAAAGGTAACTTTGTTTCTTTGTAACTCAACCATATATCTCACAAAGTGCCTTTATATTTTCCAACTGTGTCTTTATCTCTCTCAATGTGACTTTAAATCTCACAATTGTGACTTTGTTTCTTGTAATTGCAACACATTTGTGACTTTATCTTTCTAATTTATAATTAGATAATTATACAGACATTCTGGCTTTATATCTCAAAATGTTCCTTTATATCTTCCATTTGTGACTTTATATCTGTGACTTTATGTCTCAATGTGAATTTAAATTTCACAGTTGTGAATTTGCTTCTTGTAATTGTGACTTTATATCTCGCAATGTCTTCCAGCTCTGACTTTATATCTCCAAATATGACTTTATACATTTTTAGAATGAAACGTTGTTTCAGCTTAGTTACAATAAATGCCTTTTTTGGATAGACAGGAAGTTTTGTTTCCTGAAAGTTAGTAATACATATATCAGAATCAGAATCAGAATGAGCTTTATTGCCAGGTATGTTTACACATACAAGGAATTTGTTTTTGTCACAGAAGCTCCACAGTGCAACAGAACGACAGTGACAGACAAGACACATATAATAAAAATATTAATATACAAATATACAAAATAGACAACGCACAAAATAGAAAAACACAATATACAAAATAGACAATTTTGTATGTACAGGTATGTTATACGCAAAATTGAAATATAAATATGTGTGTTTAAATAAATAAATGGATAAATAGTGTTGTGTATTCCATGTTTTATTGTCAAGTGTTCATGAGATGGATTGCCTGAGTAGGCAAACTGAAGAGGATCCAGCAAGGGTCCAGTGATGTCCTTCAGGTGTACATATAGTACAAATAATGAATTAAACTTTTTCTATGACATATGATGCTTCTTTTACAAAAGTGTTATTCAAAACTCTCCACACTCTCACTTGTCTTCATAGGTTTCGGCAGGTGCTGATGGAGAATGAGCCTGAGCTGCAGGAGGTTTCTGGACTCTTCCGCTCTGTGCTTTTGGAAACACTTGAGCGTGTTCATGAGGAGCAGGAGGCTCAGCGTCTGACCCACCAGTGGAACAACAGATGCTCCATAAGCCTGTCGCTGATGAGCTTCAAGTCTCGCGTGCGGATCAACCCTTTCGGCAGCACCTTGGGACTGAAATCAAACAGTTATGAATTGTGCTGAAAAATAAAGATGTATGCACATTTGCTTCTAGCGTTTGGGATTCTGAGACAGTGACATGGCATCCTATATTTTAATACAAATGCCTCAGCTATATGGTATCAAAACTTTCTCAGATATTTTCAAGAATTTATCCTCAATACATGAATATAGGGAGAAGATATTGCAAAACTTTATGCTATTTTGCAGAGGTACTGATGAATATTATAATATAGCCAACACCTGTTGACAGAAGAAATTGTGTAAGGCTAGGCTGCAGATTAATATTATTCATGCAGTAACAAACCCTGTGCGAAACAAGCATACCTTAAAACACTTTCCCAACTATCTAAATGATTTTGTTAACTGTTAGAAACCATGCCAACCAGTTTCTAACAAATGTTTATGTATTTGGTGTAAAAAAAAATAAATAAAGGGACACAAACTGGAAATTTATTTAACAGTATTGTTATCAGCAGTCAAATGCACGTGACTCACAAAGGCAGATCATGAGATTTTAACTACCTGCTAGTGGTGCCTCTGCATTTGGCTCAACAAAGTAAATACACAGATTATCATGGGATAACAAGAAACAGCACTGGAACTACACGACTACAGTGTTGTTTCAAATTTGAACAGGTTTTTTTTTATATATATATACAACCTTCTCCCTGGTGAACCAGCACAAACTGTTCATAAATGATTTAAATCTTTCTGAAAAATTCCTAAGAAATCTGGACTGATTCTGTTATGTACTTGAGGTTTGAATTTAAAAATGAGAATACAAGAATAATTATTTTTTACAATTTCAGTAACGTAACAATGTTACATCCATGCTACAGTTCTCAGAAGGTAGAGTTAATTAGACATAAAATATAAGTATTTCAGGACACAGTCTGGATAAAAAATAAAAAATAAAAATAAAGAGGACAACAACCATCCACATGGAGTTTATGGTAAGGAATTGTCAATGTATAACATCAGGCAACAACATTAATAGTTGAAAATGGTCTTTCCCTGAGTGGTGGTCAGGCGATGAAAAAAAAAAATGAAATTAAAAAAATGAAGGAAAAAAAAAAAAGTTTGTCTGTTTCTGCAGTTCCAGGTCTGGACTGAATCAGAAAGTGGAGTTTAAGAACTCCAGCAGTTCGGCTCGGTTTTTGTCCCTCTGTTTAAAAAAAAAAAAATAAATTGGTTAAAGATCTGTGCAAAACTGTTAACCTGACTATAGTTAATCTGGTTTACATTCTAACACTATTTTCACCAGCCATCATACAAAGATAAAATCAGCAGAGGAAAATATCCATTCCACGCATTAATTTTAAAATCAAACGTATAACTTGTTGTTTTTCTTTAGTGTATTTATGTGTTATCTGCACAATGAAAAACTCACCTGCTTGTCCTTCTTTGATTTTTTCACTTTCATTTTAATCTTTTTCCCTGAAATCATACTGTATTTGCCTGATTTCTTCTTTTCCTTAAGATACTGGGGGTGACAGAAATTCTGTTATATCACTAAACTTTGCAATAATCACAGAAACCTTTAATCAAAATCAAAATAAACCAAAGCAAAGAGACTATAGCACATTGCTAAAATGTGATGCCCACTATGAGGTTGAGTTGAAAAAAGTACCTTTGAAATTTGAACAGGTCCAGAGCTGTCATCTTGCCCTTTGTGTCCCCTTTCCTTCTTCCGCTTACGTGTCTTCTCTTTCTTTCCTTTCTATAATAATAATAATAATAGTCAAAACAGATAAGTGACAATTTATTCCAAACCAACATTTAATCAATGAACATCGAACAGCTTCTAAAATATATATATATATTTTAGAAGCTGTTCGATGTTCATATATATATATATATATACAATTTTTAAAATGCTTGCTTTTGTGTTCCACAGAAAAAAATAACAATATACAGGTTTGTAACAATGAGGGTGAATAAACGACAGGATTTTTCTTTTTGTGTGAATCATCCCTTTATACTTGACAACTCTGGACAAAAGTACACAAATTTACAGCGTCAACTGAAATGAAAAGAAAAAAAAAAACCCAGGTACCTTTTTTCCAGGTCTCTCTTTCCCTTTCTTTGAAGACTTTCTTTGTTTTTTGCAAGAATCTAGCAGTGGAAGCACAAAACACATCTCTTATTTAGATCTGCTGCATCATCATAATCAATTCATCTCAATTTCTTCTTTCCTGTTAATGAAGTGTGTGAAGTAATGAAGTTTTACACCTACTAAAATTCTCCTTTCGGACCCTTGGGAGTGAAGCCGGACTTTTATTAAAGGCTGTTTTTTTTTATCTAACTTACCGGAGCTATCAGAGCTGGAGTTACTACGTGATGATGAACTGCTGGATGAAGTCCGTGAAGAAGAGGATGATGAGGAGGAGGAGGAAGATGATGAGGATGATCTGCTTCGGCTTCTTGCTCGTTTCCGGTTTTCGTTTTCTCTTCCTGTCAATATATACACTGTATTTGTAAGCAAAATCATTTCTGCATGTTTCAGAGTTAGTGATTCTGTTCTCCACATTTCCTTTCCTAACACAGATCAGTTGTCTAGAGCAGAGGTTCCCAACTCCATCCCTGCTGCTCTGCATATTTAGCATGTCTCTCTTATTTAACACACTTGATTCAGATCATCAGCTCGTTAGAAGAGAGCTTCACGCATGAACTGTTTTCCGTCTCACACACTTCAATGCCCTTTGAATGGAACATATATACGCTCCCTTCAAACTGGAATCATGATGGAATATCCTGTGATGTCCACTTCGCAGGGCACTTTGGGGGCAGTCGTGGCCTTAGACAATCGGCCTTGTAACCCAAAAGTCGAGGGTTCGAGTCTCGGATTGTAGGTGGGGTGAGTGAATGTACAGCTCTCTCTTCCACCTTCAAGGGGGAAGTTGTGGCCTAATGGTTAGAGAGTCGGATTCGTAACCCAAAGGTTACAGGTTCGAATCTCGTACCGGCAGGGACTGTAGGTGGGGGGAGTGAATGTACAGCCCTCTCTCCCACCTTCAATACCACGACTGAGGTGCCCTTGAGCAAGGCACCGAACCCCCAACTGCTCCCCGGGCGCCGCCGCAAAAATGGCTGCCCACTGCTCCGGGTGTGTGTTCACGGTGTGTGTGTGTTCACTGCTGTGTGTGTGCGCACTTTGGATGGGATAAATGCAGAGCACTAATTCTGAGTATGGGTCACCATACTTGGCCACATGTCACGTCACTTCACATCACTTCACTTCAATACCACAACTGAGGTGAGACCCTTTAGCAAGGCACCGATCCCCCAACTGCTCCCCGGAGGCTGCAGCAAAAATGTGTTCACGGTGTGTGTGTGTGTGTGTGTTTGTTCACTACTCATTTGGATGGGTGAAATGCAGAGCACAAATTCCGAGTGTGGGACACCATACTTGGCTACACTTCACTTTCACTTACGGTCGAATAGAACACAAGTCTTTAGTGATAAGAGATACACACAAAATGTGCAGAAGTGGGGGTCTCGCGAGCAATAGAACTGAGGAGCACTGCTCTAGAGAAACTCACCTCTGCTGTGAGAACTACGTCTGCTTTTTGTACTTGACTCACTTCTCTCCACGGTGTCCACTTTGGCAGACTAAAAAAAAATAACAAATAAAGCATAACAACTCAGCATCCAGATCTTTTCAAATGTTCAAAACACGGACTGTGTTCTGTATGAGAATCACAGGCAAGAATAAAAAATGCTGCTAAGGTTAAGTCTGTACAGTCCTTCTAGTCAACTGCTCATTTACTTCACAAATATGTTACACGTTATCAATATAAAATGTTTAGAAACAAAAGTTTGTAAACATCAACCAAAGAATTCCAGCTTCATCTGAAGGTTTAACGAGAAGGCTTTTAATGTAAGCAGTTGAACACTTTACCATGTTTATATTAAATTGTCTTCAAAGTGTGGTCCTTCCGACCACAATAAAAATCGGGAAAATCAGAAGAATAGCCAGATATGAATATAATCCGTGTTGAAAATAAACTGCGTGGAATATAAATGACTCGTTTTCATTTCTGCGATCGGTGCGTGTGAATTATTGAGATAAGCACCGCTGCCATCTTGTTTACGTCACACACAAACTATATCATCCGGGTACTGTTCAGCAGCGCAGGCGCGTGTAACCAACGCAAGCACAAATAGCTCCTGTTTTCTGCAAATTGAATATTAAAGTTTCTGAGTATTATTTTTCAGGTATAAACTTGTTCAGTTCGTTTTTAAAGCAGTACGCAGACGGCGTCATCACATGATAGCTTAGTCATTCTTGAGAAGTGGGACAAAACGGTGCAAAATTGAAAAAATAAAACCTTGTACTCAGACAAATGAAACTGCATTGATGTATCTTATATGTACTAAGCTACTGAGCTATGCTTTGATACAACCTCCCAACTTTTCTCTTTTTTAACAAAATGTGCTGAAACATGCATGTGTCATTAAAAAAACAACCTTGCTTTGATAGGAGAGCTTAATAATATATTAAGTGTTGCTTTTGATAAAACAAGCTCTTTTTTCATCATTAAAAAAACATTTTTATCCATTTCATTGCATATGAATGATTGAACCCTTCTCTGTGGACACACTGTTTTAGATGTAGTGAGAGGACATTAAGAAACACAGATTTGGTATAATAATGAGAAAATTAAATTGAAGGTGATAATTGTGTTAAATACATTCTATTATTAATCCCTCATGACATTTAAAATTGAAAATATTTTTATGATTGAGCTGTTAATTTTCTAAGCGCTAAATACTCTATCATTAGGAACAGTTCCCAATCTTTTAAATTACTCCATAACATTTACCCTGTCAAAAATTTTCTGATGAAAAATCTGATTTTGACACAAAATGTGCCTTTTGTCAGAATGACACTGAGACTCTTCTTCATTTGTTTTGGTCATGCAGTTATACTTCTCAGCTCTGGAAAGATGTTAGTTTGTTTATCTCAAATCTTATAAGATTTTTCAATTAATGCCAAATTTACATTTTTTTTTTTTTGTAGCGGATCCCAATGCCTGTTTTGTAATAAACCTAATTCTGTTCTTAGATTCTGTATTCACAAATGTAAGTTTTCGAATTGTAAACCTGTTTTTGCAGTATTTTTACAAGAGATAAAAAATTATTTCGCCTACTTACAATTTCAGTTTCACTTAACAAGAAAACACTCAGAACATGTACAATTTGCACAGCCTACACATTTTCTACTCTATTTAATGTTAATTTGTGTTATTTTAATGCCCTCTTTTTTCTTTTATTATTTATTATGTTTCTATTTTGAACTATGGTACTGATTGTTTGTTTTCTGTCTTTCTCTCTATTGATGTTATTTTTGTACCATAACATCAGATTTGGTTGTACCATAGTGTAAACGGAATGTTCAAATAAAGCATTATGAAAAAAAAAAGAATCTACTGTATAAACACAAATCTCCTTTCTTTTAAAATTGCTTTTAAAATTGTATTATTTTTGTGACTCAACTTTTCAATCAAAATGGTTCAATCTGAGTTCTTGGTTAAGCATGTAATTCCTGTTAGTCCAAAAGAGTTTGCATGGAGTTCTTATGCTTTTTAGAGGTCTCTCTTTTCCAATCTCTTGTCACTCAGTGGATCTATGTAAAACTGTGCCTTATGTAATCTCTTAAGTGATATTTCCTGGAAGAAAGTTTGGTCATTATTACCTCACAAACACCTGATAACTAACAAAATGAGAGAAAATACATTTAAGTTGATTCAAAGATTTTACCCAGTTAAGTGCTCTCTTAAAAGACTTAGAACGGTATTAAAACCAACTGTTCTTTCTGTTTAGAGAACACTGAAATCTCTTTACATTTATTTTGGAACTGCTCTTACATAACAACATTTTGGTGTGACATTGATTTGATCAAATGTTATGTAAATCCTAATTTTGAATTTACTTATAGAAATGTAATTTTTGGTTTTCATGAATGCGAAAAGAAAACGTATACCTTCATAAACCTTATTTTCCTGTTAGCCAAATATCATATTCATAAATGTAAATCTTCTAAATGCAAATCTCTCTCTTTTTTTTTTTTTTTGAGATTCAAACTTGAAATGAAAGTGCATTTTGAATCTATTGAGTTCTCTACTCTACTCTAAGCAATAAGAACAATGGCTTTGCTGAAGGACTTGGCACTTCCTCTAGACTGAAAGACCCTGGATTGTTATTGTTGTTGTTGTATTATTATGATTTGACAATGATGACAATTGTTGTTATTGTTTTTCAAGCATTCAATAAAAAAGGTTTTACGTTGCATAGTAAAAAAAAAAAAAAAGTGTGAATTGCTGGTCACTTAATTCACATATATTTTACCTTTATTAATTAAAAAACGCCTCATAGCCTATCATCATATACGCAGCAGTCACAAGAAGTCACATTTCAAGTCTATTTATTGAAACTCAAAAGCCATAAAAAAAGAACATATTTTATTTTCATTAAACAACATGCAATATAATACAATACTTTAAATAATGAGCATTTCAAAATATTGTTGCATATATTGGGGAAGTCGTGGCCTAATGGTTAGAGAGTCGGACTCATAACCCAAAGGTTGTGGGTTCGAGTCTCGTACTGGCAGGGATTGTAGGTGGGGGGAGTGAATGTACAGCGCTCTCTCCCACCTTCAATACCACGACTGAGGTGCCCTTGAGCAAGGCACCGAACCCCCAACTGCTCCCCGGGTGCCGCAGCAAAAAAATGGCTGCCCACTGCTCCGGGTGTGTGTTCACGGTGTGTGTGTGTGTTCACTGCTGTGTATGTGCACTAAGGATGGGATAAATGCAGAGCACTAATTCCTAGTATGGGTCACCATACTTGGCCACATGTCATGTCACATCATATTACATATAGGGCCTAGGCCTATTTTATTAAATAGGCTAGTGATGCGACACATTTGCTGGTAATGCCGTAAATGAGTTCTATCTGTCGTGACATTCCCTCCTAAAAAAATAAAATTTTATCAAGGTAAAATCTAGGCTAGGCTACATATAGTTCCCAACGAAAGTATTGTTTAGTGTAGCCTAAAACAACCTAGATAGTAACAAGCCTAAAACATGTTTAAGATCAGCGAACAGGTTGTCGATTCATTAAACGATAAACTATTTCCTCACAAAAGCTGTTTATTTAGCGTAGTGAAGCCTCTCCTCCTTTGACATACATTCAAAACAAACAAACAAAAATGCATCAAAGTCGCAGCGTTAGCATTCGCCGTTACGCTTATTTTTGTTGTTGCAATCTTTAGAACAACATGCAAGGGAAATAACATATATACATTACACAAAAACAAATACAATAATAAGCAAAAACAATAAAATAAATAAATAAAACTATAGGGAAAGCAAAGAAAATCACATGCCCAGTAGGCTATAATAGTATTCAAATAATAGATTTAAGGCTTTAAAATAATTTACAGTTTTTTTTTCGCTGTGTTATTTCTTGTTTCTTTAGTGACCTATTTCTGTATTAAAATTAGTAATTAGTAAGTTTTTTTTTTTCACATTTACATTTGTGGATAAAGAATTTTCCATATAATGAGTAAATCCACAACATACCATATTGCGAAGTCAACAGGCTATACTCATGCAATAAACAAATAAATAAATAAAACATCCTTTTCTTTGAGTTGTAATTCAATCTTTTAACCAAAAAGCCAAATCACACCAAAATAGTTTTGTATAAATATAATCATAAAATAAATGGACAATACTCTTATTTTCCTCTTTACAGAAAATACACTTCAAGTCAATGTCTTTACAAAACTTTGCAATTAGGCCACCTGTTTTACAGGATAAATACGATGAACAATCTTAAATACTTCTCTGATTTTATTGGTAATACAAAAACGTCTGGAGATTTTAAAGGTCTCTTTCCAGTTGATATCTTGGAATCGTGCTCTCCAAATAGGCCTACCAATGGCTAGAGCCAGAGGAACACTGCAAATTAGGCAAATCGTTCTAAGACACCCGTTACAGCTTTGTCTTTGCTTATCTAAAGTAACTGCATTGTGTATAGATTGTTTAAAACATAATGTTTCATTGGTTTTAATTTAGCAAAACAAAGCCGAATACAAGAGGGAATATTTCCTCTGTAATGCATTACTTTTCCTACAGAGGGCGACTAAATGATACTAAATGTTGGACATTTTATCCCTCACGGTCATTGAAAGCATTGTCATTAATGCATCTCTTTTGTGTTATGTCTGAAAATTAAATTGACAATGTATTTGTTCGTTTTTCAGGGTTAGGGTTTTAAATAGTTTCAAATAATTTATCATTGGTTGTACTGATTACAACGATAACTATTGTTGCAAGAAAGTTATTAGGGACTAGGCATGATAGTAAAAAAAAATCCTTATGAAAGCGTATCGTACATCACTATGCATCTTTAGTGATGATTAAAAATGAGTCGGTTAGCAATTCAGCTGTTGCTCAAAGAAGTTAAAACAAACAGTACAAAACGGAGAGTTCCGGTCCTTGATTCTGATTGGCTGAGCCACGTTCGAAGCTGTTGTAAATTACTCTACAAACATACACCTTTGTTTACGTTTGTCTGTTGCTTGGCAACCACTTTGTTGGAACCACAACTGATTCTGAGGAACTGCATTGTTTGGTGGAAGAATACTGTTTTTATTAATATCATTACACTTTATTTGCTCTGTTTTATTTTGTGAAACCTTACTACGTATATGGAATAACCGTTTTATAAAAGCAATAAGCCCGTGAAGCCGTGGTTTACAGTGAATTTATAACGGGGGCTTCGCGTCGTGCCTAACAGCGCCCTTTAGCTGTTATAAATTCACTGTAAACCACGGCTTCTTGGGGCTTATTGCTTTAATTTAAATCCTGATTATACTCATACATCACAAATGAACATAACAGCCTTCAGTACAATCATTAGGCTATAACAAAAAATAATTCAGATAGCTGGTTTTATAAATGTACAAGTAGAAGTTTAATGCATTCACAGACTTTTCAAATACAATTAAGTGATGAGGTTTGGAGTGAGGCATATGGTAACATACATTCAGAGACACACAAATTGAATCAGTAAGTCAGCTTGCAGTAAGACCTCTTTATAATTAAAAAACATGACATTTAGTAGTCTTACCAAGAGCAAGAA